AATGCGTGTGTGTGTGTGAGTGTGTTGTCCAGAAGCCGTGTGTGGAGTGTATGTGAATTAGTTCTACGTCCAACACCAGGCAGAGAAGATCTGAATGATGATAACCGTGTTGTTGTGGAGGGAAATCAACGTCGACAGATGTTTTCTCTCGCTCCTTGCAGCGGTTCGTCGGATATCTGGGGAGAACGGAGCAGCAGCAGCCACTCTTTACAAAAACACACCTTATTTTCTCCCTTGTTCCCTCACTATCTGAATTCACCAGCGGCTTTCCACAGTGTGAAGTGATCGGTTTTGAATAAACTGCACCCCCCCGTCCCCCACCCCCCCGCCAGCTAGGGAAGATAAGAGCTTCATTTTCTCTCAATGGAAAAACATATTACTCAAGCTAAAAAAGAAGCATAAATGCTTTCACTCAGCTGTTTTGAGGGCAGGACGTGTGCTTACAGTACACTCCAGATGTATCGTGCACTAGCAGAACGGGTAACGAACGCTCATAGGAACCATCACACCATAGATCCAGTCAATAAAATTATTCAAATTCAGTGTTTAGCTAAAATCTCTCTCATTATTGCTTACAGCTTTATCTGACGTCATTTAACCTACAACCTTAATAAATCGAATTTACGGATCTGTTTCTACTTAGTCAAAGGCGTGTTTGGTTTCTTTGCTACCATGCTAATGTAGCTAACACATTTATTAAGGCAGCCATCGTGGACAAGCACAAGCAGTTTGAAAGACTGTTTCTTTAAACCAAACTATAGGCCATTTCCAACGAGCGCAGGAAGTGACATCAATGTTCCTAGAGCATATCCATAACATGAACGGTGAACATCTAAACACTAGCGAAGGACTGTCCTCAGTGTGATGTGACTGGTAGCTTGATTTAAGGATTTCATGGATTTTCACTCAGATCTGGAACGAACTTGCTTTCAGAAATTAAAGTATCGATTTACAAAAAGCACAATGAAAAGATTAGTTTGCTGGAGTCAAGAGAGATGGCTGGATCGGCGCGAGCAGCTCCTGGACCTGGAGCACACATTTTATCTAAACTTATATGAATAATTACATATTAAAGGTGACGTCATTCCACGACGCGAGTCACGAACAAACTGTACAGCGGACGTATAAAACTATAAAACCAGAAGCCAGTATGAGCTGCATGTCGTATCCTAAATGAGTAAATATAATAAAGCTACTCAGCTAGCTAGCTAACACCCAGCTGTACACGTTTAGACAACTCCAGCTTCGCCACACACAATACAGACACCATTATTAGAGTGAATATTTTCCACTTTTCCTCTAAGAAGTTAACACACTCCACAGCAACGACTAAGTAAACGACACACACTGAGATAACTCACTTCAGCTAAAAGCCCACAGACAGATTCTTCTTCAGAGGATCGGGTAATGACGGTCGATCGTTTATTGTTCATTTTTGTATATATCTTGTTTGTTCACTTTTCAGACTCAGGAAGTATGAGATGAGTTCGTTTTGACAGATTTACACTGAAAATGGCGTCTAAAGTAGGAAATACGTACATGTGCGGTGACGCTGGTATTGTTTACCTCACGAGTATTTGAATATTCGGTAATCTAGTCGTAAAATCGGTGTGGATTCGTGTGTGATAGCTGAAGGAATGAAAAACCTTTGGATTCTCCTATCGTCACGTTTGTTCGAGGTGACGCCGAGACTCGCAGGTCTCTGGGTTCACCCGGAGCTTCAGCTAACACTCTGATCGACTGCTGAGTCAGAATCAATAGAGGAGTAAATCTCGTTCCAGCTCGCCCTTGTGCACTTCCCTCACCACTCTGAAGTGTCTCACAGCTCAGCTCTGCCTCATGCTTACAAATTCAGAACTATTTACAACAACAGGCTCAGAGAAGTCGCTTACAAATTCAGAACTATTTACAACAACAGGCTCAGAGAAGTCACTTACAAATTCATAACTATTTATAACAAAAGGCTCACAAGAGAAGTATAAGAAGAGAAGCCACAAAAGTCAAAGTTGCAGTTAGGGGCGTGGCTAGCATACATGCATTTTCTTACAACTTCATTCAAATGGAATTTAACATAATCCAACCACATCGTGTTTGTTTGTTTGTTTGTTTGTTTGTTTGTTTAGATGCATGAATTTCTCATGAGATCATGTTTCAGCTTTACGCAAATAAGTCCCTTCGTTGTTTTTAACCAATCAGATGAGAGCAGAATTTTAGTCTAAACAACGTATTATTTTCCGGTTACTTCCTAACACCAGCTTCCTGCTGAAATTAAGTGGATGGTTGATATTTATAATTTGTTATACCACAGCGCTGCTGAATTCTGGATCCTGATTGGTCAGGAGGTGTTGATTTGTTTTCGATAACAGCAGCTCTGCCAGCAGCGCAGGTTTATATTAATGCACTTGTTCTAATATGTTACCGTTTCTATAGCAACAGCTCATTCACAGGGACGTGTACAGCGAATGCTTCACATGAACACATTAAAAAAATAATTGATATGGTGAAGTTTTCTGTAAAGAGATAAAGTTATGTAACGTGTATGGAAGGAGTCTCCAGTGTCAGTGCTTTGGAGCAGTCAGAGGTAAAGCTGTAACTTTTCCGACATCTTCAGGACAGAGGAGTTTACACTTTTTTTGCGGTTTCTCAGTAACATGACAAGCTGTGAGTTTGTTGTCTTATTAACTTTAAGAGAGAGAATAAAGAGAGAGGCTGGTGAGGGAACGAATGTTTATAGCTGCTATAACATAAGTGAGAACAGGAACTGGAATAAAACACTTAGGGACGTGCTGTTATAGGAAATGAATCAACTTCAGGCTGTCAGTGATTATTTTCCTAAATGCGAATTCCCTCACTGTTTCATTGCTTAGGTAAAAAAAAAAAAAAGAAATATAAATAGAAGATTAAATAAAACCCTAAAATAGCAAACCATGACTCTGTGATTTTCCATCAATGGTACCGAGTTCCAGTGGGAATCAGACGGGATTTTATTTATTTTTTTTACAAAAATGTCAATTTATACTTCTGTTTACTGAAAGAGAAAAGAATAATAGATGTCTAAAGCAGTTGTTGAACTCATCAGTGTTTTAAAAATGTGACTATTTAACTCAAATTCAACCTTCAGCTATTTACCTGAAACAATAAAAAGGTGTCAGAATGAGATTAAAAAACTGTCTCACCAAAGCTGATCCTATGAACTTTAATCCAACTTTCACTGGAGTGACACAATAAAAAGTAGCTCCAGGCTCTTCACGCTTTCCTGAGGTTGTGTGTCGTATCCATACGCCATCAGAGCCACGGCACAACAAATCCTTCCCCTCTGAAAAAGTAGCTCCATCTCTGAAAGCGTTCATGAAGCCGGTTTTACACTCGTCACGTGTCAGATTATACCATGAAGATCCTCGAACGATAGACCTGCGAGTAAAGAACGTGACCACGTTCTACTCACGTCACCGAACAGCGTGATCCGGAAGTCAGCCCAGGCTCGTGTCATCAACACCAACATTCTCACTCTGTGCGTTTCTCTCCAGGACTTTTTTCTTTCTTCCGTGTTTCTGTGTCTGTTTTTTTGTTTTATTGATTTATTGTTTTTGGTTATTCCTGAATTCCTGAGTCCGGTGGTTGCCTGTTGCGGCAGAAATCCAGACCAGGGGGATTTCCCCAGGCCTCGATCTCCCTTGCATGAAGCGTGTCCGTTAGCCCTCCGTGGATAGAGTGAATATCAGATATGATCTTTCATGAGGTGGACACCATTACAGAGTTTCAGGGGTTAATTTGGGAATAGCATCTCCGTGTATCCTTCCTCGAGAGGAGGAGGAGTGTGGAGTGTGGAGTCGAACGAGAGCGATGCAGCAGAGGCGAATTCCTCCGAGATTTGCACACAGTGTTAGTGAGGCAAGATGGGATCTTATTTCAGAAATATTATTTGACAAAACAGTATTAGTTTTTGATAAATGATGGAATAAAAACAGTTCTTCAGGGCTTCGTTTCAGTCCAAGTTCACGTTCACTTTTCAGTTTATCTTCACAAACCATCTTACTCTGTGTGTGTGTGTGTGTGTGTGTGTGTGTGTGGTGTTGGGCTCCTCATTAGAAAAACACCTCGTATTTGCAAGCAGCTCTTGCAAAGCATGCTGGGAGAAAAGAAAGCTGGGGAGAACGGTGTGAAAATGCTAATGCTAATGCCTGCATCTGTGTGTGGGTGGTGATTCTGTTTACTCGTAATTATGCACTGCTAGAAACATCGCTTAATAATAAGGGCAATTAGCAGGGAAGATAGTCGGGAGACAGACGAACGAAAAGAACAGCTCAAACGGCTGCTCGCATATAAAAAGCCTGAAGTAGCTCTTATAAAAACTACTAGATTATCTCAGGAAAAAAAGGTGCTCGACATGCCATGTAATGAGTAATAAGTAATAAAAGCCCCGGGGATTTGCTGTTATAGGAAAATAGCGCAGGGTGGAGTGCTGGGATGCGGCCTGACTGGCAGTTGATTGTTTTCCAGTAACAGCACGTCCCCAGCTGTTTATTCCTCTTATACCATAACAATGACACATCATATACTTTTTATCCATTAATCATTACATTGCCAAAGTACATCAAAGGTATTTTTTTTGTACCTAGGGTTATTATCTTTTTTCCAAGGAAAGTGTTGTACCTTTATTATATTTTTCCCAATTAGCTTTAATTAGCTTCAAGGTTCAATTATGTTCATTAAATTATTATTAAAGGTTTCCAGGTAAATGATGCAAACTAAAAGGTTTTCAAGCTGAACCTTTGACTCCAGTAACAAGGAAAGGTACAGTTCAGTACCTATCTAGCTGAGAGTGTAAAGCATTTGAAAGAAATGCAGTACAGCGTGTGCGCGCATGTTAATTGTTCTTGACATTTACATTTACAGCATTTGGCAGACACCGTTATCCAGAGCAATTTACATTTATCTCATTTATACAACTGAGCAGCTGAAGGTTAAGGGCCTTACCCAAGGGCTCAGCAGTGACAGCTTGACAATGCTGGGATTTGAACTCATGATCTTCTAAGCAGGAGGCTAAGGTCTTAACCACTGAGCTACCACTGGCCCGAGAAAGAGTCAAAGCTGCCTCAGTGTCTTGAAAGCTGTTACGTGAAACATGGACAGATGTGCAATTGTTTCCACATGTGCTGTTTGAGGTGCATACTGGGCATCATGAGGCAAGACAAGAACCCAAACTCCACAGCGCGTGAGAGAACACGCACCATCTCCATGTTCAACCTTCACCAGCAGAGGCGCCGGGGCTGGCTTGGCCACGTGAGCCGCATGGCAGATGTACAGCCAAAGGATCTCCTCTTTGGGGAGCTGGCCTCAGGCACGAGGCAGCGAGGCAGACCCAGGCTACACTACTGATGTCTGCAAGCATGAACTCAAGGCTCTCTCTATCAACCCCCCAGCACAAAGGTCTCTCCACATACCAGACCAACCTGAGGCAGCGAGCAGTGGAAAACAGAGCCCAAAGAAGAGCCAAAGCTGCCTCAGCGTTCTACTGTACAGTGTGATGAGATTAGACCACCCCCGCATTGGACTCGCTTCTCAAACCTGTCCTCCCGTGGCACCATCACATGAGCCCTCTGGATCCAGAGATGGCTGCTAGCTATGATGGGTTCATATCTAAAAGGAAAAATAAATCTGTTCATAAGGTGAATGACAACAGTTGATATCAGACATGTGAACGTTCAGTGAATATTTAATGCACCAACTTTCCTGCAATAATAATAATACATCATAATTATAAGCAGCATTTGTATCATTTTCAGATCCTAAACCTTAGTTTTGATAAATTCTGTCATTATCCAGACTTAATAAATGGTACAATTTTATCTTCAAATGACCAAAACGAGTTTCCGCAAATTTAACACCTGCCCTTCGGTGATATTAATTCATACACAATCAATCTTTTTCTCACTTTTTTTTTTTTCAAACAAGTTTCTGAAGTGGCTTTCACACTGCAGGTCTTAAACTAATCAATTTGCATTGACTCCGCCCACTGATTTTTCACTTTAACATAAAAGCACCTCAATGACATACTCATAAAGGCAATTATGCAAAATGAGAAGACAAGACATGCTCATGTTCAGTTTTTTGTCCCTGTTATTATGTTTTTATTATGTTTTACACAGTCCTTTAATAATCCAGATACACAGTGTTTATCTCCACACAGAATGCTCGCTAACATCCGGGAGGGAAAAAGGTATAAGAATAAAAACATAATAGCAGATAGAGCTGATATTATTACACAAATAACGATTATTTCACAATTTGTCAGATCATGTAAATTAGCATTTTATAACTGAGCTGTCTCCTCGCTGCCTGACAAAACTAACATGTTCATACACTGTCTCTCTCTCTCTCTCTCTCTCTCTCTCTCTCTCTCACACACACACACATACAGCATGTCAGGAATCTACAGTTTCTTTAAACCTAAGTTTTGTCTTGAGTCTGTTACAGGATTTGAAACAAGAATCCAAACAACTCTCACAAAACCCTCAAATGTCCAAACCAGTGAAGTCTCTTTTACACACATACAGAGCTCAGATAGAAAGCCCTAACTCACAAAAGGAAAAAAAAAAAAACTAAACAACAACCCAATTCTCAAAGGTGTAGAAGGGAAGCCAGAGGTCATGGGATGTAAATGCGGAGTCTTTTTTATTCCTTCTTTCTGCAGGAATCGTGCTCATTATCTGTAATAGGGGTCACGGCACCGGCAGCCACGGACTCCACACACAGATCCATTACTGAAGGTCGAACCGAGGCAGGCAGAGGGCAAAAACACAAAAATACACCACAAAAGGAAGTAGAACAAAAAAAAAAAAACACTTGAAAAAACAGGAGCATAGCGAAGGGTAATGGCAGCATTATGAACGTGACATTTCCAACTCATCCTTGGGTTTAATGTGTGCTGGAGCCTGCAGGAGCTCCGCACAGAGAAAGAAAGCAGAGCAGCGTGAAAGTGTACGATTATTCCTCTCTGTCTTACTGATACAGCGCAGTCTATCAGTCTTAGAGATATAGCGTTACATCATTTCACAGCGATCCGGGTGCACAAGCCAGTCCTCTAGCTTTCTCACACATTCTGCTAATAAACACGGACAAGTGCCGCCTACTTTCACCGTCCGTTTTTTCCCGTCAGAGTGCACAGAAATGCAGAGAGCCAATCAGACTGATTCTGAAGCTAGAGGCCAGAAAAGTGTACAAAAGATATCAGGCAGCTCGTGTAGCATCTGAAGCTGAGCCTACACCTAGCCTAACCTTTCCTACTGACAAACTACACACCGGATAAAAGCACAAGCACTGACAGACGGCGTGTTTTCGCATGTACGGGTTCTAGGAAGTGGGATGAGAGCGTCACCGACAAAGCGTGATGACAAAGACTGTAAGATTTTATCAACAGTAAACATGTCGCCTAGCAACTAATCAAGGATTACGCACATTTTTAATCCGTTCATGTGGAGCGTCCGCTGTACACGTCCCTGTGAATGAGCTGTTACTATAGAAACGATAACACGTAAACCTGTGATTTGAAGCTGCACTACTTTATAGAAAATTAATCAACACCTGATGGCCAATCAGAATCCAGAATTCAACACTATTCCTAGCTTTCACTATCTGGGTATTTTTTTCTTAATTATGAATCTAATTATAAGTGCGACTGCTCGTGTCTGTAATGGTGAGTAATCAGATTTATGTCAGTGATGTTTGTGTGTTAGGGATTTTGTCACATTCTGAGAAACAGACAGGTGCATTACGTGAAATAAAAGAATCGCAGTGGCGCCAACACTTTTGACATTTTTGTTAAAAGGCGCAGGAACGCCGTCTGCTAAGTGTTTTCAAACGGCCAATTATGCTGTGAGGAATCAATTCCAGTAAATGAAACGAAGAAAATAAATACGGCATAGTGTGACAGAGTTTCAGCTTAACAGATCCACTAACAGTCATAAAACTCTGTCTCTCTCTCCCACACACACACACACACACACTCACACACACACACATTGTGAAAAAGGACTGAAAGATCCATAATGTGTGTGTCAGAAAGCAGAAATCCTGTTCACAGTGCCACGGGGAGCCAATAAATTGGTCCGGCTGGAATTCCGAGAGACGTTTAGTTGTCAGGAACGTCAGCTGAGCCTGTGCAGTCGGCTCTGACGGTCCGAGTCCGGCAGCGAGAGCCATTTTTATTCCATTATCTATCAGAAATTGAACTAAAACTGAAACATACACAGTTTGAGCCACTGTACGTGCTGTGAGGACGAGGACGAGGACGAGGACGAGGACGAGGACGGGCTCTGAATCCTGCACTGCATAAAAAAGCTAACGTGAGACACCAAACATGATCCGATCCTCTACATCCGCAGTACAGAGGATCTCATTTTTCCTGATTTTTTAAAAATGTATTTATTAGTTGTATTATTTATTTTATTAGTTATTTTTTATTTGCAGTTAATTGTTAAATCATAATTAATGATTATAGTCATTAATAATTATCATTAATAAAGTTTAGACATTTAATTTAAAGAGTGAAATAATTATTTTTCCAAATTTAGCCAATTATCACCATCCAACTAATAATAATAATAATAATAATAATAATAATAATAATAATAATAATAATTATTATTATTATTATTATTATTATTATTATTATTATTAATGTCTTGCTTCTTCTCATTATTTCTTTGTTTCTTTTTTACTTTTTCTTTCCTTCAATCAAAAATTCTTTCCTGCTTTTTCAAGGTTTTATTTCTTGTTTCAGCCTTCTTTCTTTCTTTCTTTCTTTCTTTCTAACATTTTTATTTTTCCCTTTTGTCCTTCTTTTATTTTTTTCTCAGTTTCTTTCTTCTTCTTTCTCCCCCAGCGTCTCCTTCCTAGTTTTTATATATATATATAAATACACGTGTTTCACTTCTTTGTTCTTTTTCATTCGATTGTTTTTCCCCTCTTCCCTCCCTCCCTTTCTTCATCTTTCCCTCATTCTTTCCTTCCTTCGATATTAATTCCTTTCTTTCTTTTCCTCCCTTCATGGAGTTTTCCCTCCTGAGCGTCTCCACATGAACAAACAGATCGTACGTGTGCAGTGATTAGACTGTGAGAATGTAGCTGAGTGTTTCATCTCAGCATGATTAGCTCTGAGAGCAGCGTCAAGTGTGTGTGTGTGTGTGTGTGTGTGTGTGTGTGT